TATATATAATGTATATAGATCCTCCACCCTCATCCCTGCCTTCACTCACCTGCGCCCTTGGCGTGCACCACTCTCTCGGGGATCCTCTCCCTGTTGAAGTGCGCCATCTCGTCCGTGTAGACAAAATCCTGCATCAACATGGGACCCCTGGGGCCGGCGGTCAGGGAGGCGGTCTTTATGCCGATAGGGGCTCCCGTGCCTGTGGTCATGACTGTGGGGTTCTGTGGAAACATTGGACGTTAGAGTGAGTAAATAATGATTGATTGTTTGCTTTTTGCTTGCTTATTTGTTTGCTAGCCTGTTGTTTGAGGGATTTGTTTGTATGTTGGTTGGTTGGTTGGTTGATTGGTTGGTTGGTTGGTTCGTTGGTTGGTTGGTTGGTTGGTTGGTTGGTTAGTTGGTTGGTTAGTTGTTTATCTGTGGGATTTTGTTTGTTTATTGGTTTGTTCGTTGGGTGATTGGTTGGTTGGTTGGTTGGGTAATTGGTTGGTTGGTAGGTTGGTTAGTTGGTTGGTTTGCTTGAGTGAAGAGAAGCACATCAGCGAAATAATGGTAATTTAATGCTGGAAAAAAGTAAGACAGGTGGACAGACAGAACTAACAGAGGAAAAATAAAGAAGTAGGACCTCCAAGTACCCGCACAGATTACATTGAGCCGCTCACTGACAAGAACAATGATGAAGAGACAAAAACGTGGCCTTCATTCATCATCGTCGTTTGTCAATATACAAGGTTTTCAGGAGAGGGAAAAGAAACTTTTTTTTTGGGGGGGGGGGGGGGGGCAGAACATTATGCAAATATAAACAATATTTGATTTATCTAAATCTATTACTATTTCAGAAGAGGAACTAGACTACAAGCATTTGATGCGCCTCATAAGACTGCTAAACACTTGATTTTCATATTTTCGAAATTTTTACATACGACAACATTGAACGGCAGCGACGAATTGCAGTCTCTGGGACACTTGACTTTACATAACAGCCTTGAACATAGTGCTGTCAGTGGTAAAATTGAAGGAAAACTGGGCAGAGATAGATCCAGAGTAGCAGCTTACATGAACATGGAAAGCTTAAATTGATGGTCTAGGAGGAAAGACCAGGATAATATAGCGTCCGAGGAAAGAATTAAATGGCCAATCATGGTCGCCGATGTCTGTCGCAGATCTGGCACTTAATGACGATCATGATGATGATAAATAATAATAAATAGCGTTTGTATAGCGCATACCTCCGCTATACAGCAAGCTCTATGCGCTTTACACACTATATGACTCGGCAACCCTGTCGACAAGATGTACATGTTGTCGGCAAGCTGGTCAAATGCACTAAGCCCAGAAAGCAGAATTTTTCAGGGGAGAGAAGAAAACTGTTTCATTCTTGTAATAATTGCACCTATAATAATGATAAAACTTATCTTTTCTTATCTTTTTCAATCTTCAAAATGTGAATTTCCACAAAATATTAATTGTTCTCGACCAGATTCGACCAATATTACAGCTTCAGCAGAAAAGACAGAAGTTCTTGAGAAAAGTCTCCCCTTCTCTCTTTTATCCGTGGAAATTGAACTCGGGCCTTAATGGGTGTCAGATGTTGAGTCTGAAATTCCAGAGAATGAAAGAAAGAGAGAGAGAGAGAGAGAGAGAGAGAGAGAGAGAGAGAGAGAGAGAGATAGGGGAATAGATAGATAGATAGATATATAGATAGATAGATAGATAGATAGATAGATAGATAGATAGATAGATAGATAGATAGTTCGCTGAACATCTACTCGTCAGTTGTTTATATTCTTCTGCTCCTCTCTCCCTCTATCGCTCCACACAACAGCAGTTTCTCAAATCCATTTGATCTATGTTGCCAAAGAATCTCAATTGTCCATTTCTGATGGTTCTGATTATAAATCTTTCACCACCTGCAGTTTGGAGCACTTCTCAATTTGTTTTCCTCTCTGTCCATGACATTCTGAGTATACAACCTTTCTGCGGCTTCCAAAACTGATATTATAATACAATTCAACAATTATTAAATAGACCCCGAGCTTCCTTTCTATTTGCCTAAACTGGTAGCTTAGTTTACTTGTTAAAAGTTTTACGGCGCTGTTTTCAACATAAACCCACAGCTAACCACCTCCCCGGTGTATTATTTAAAATCATTATCAAGCGCATGCTAGTCTAAGAATCAACCTATAGAAAACTACCCAACCACGAAAAACATAAAAACGTTTCTTCTTTATGCCCTCTGTAGATTGGGAGCGGGAGGTTGGAGGATGTCATTGTTAGGACCTACTTCTTTACTAACCGGCCTCTCATTCAGTCTCCTGGTCATGATTTTTTTTAAAGCACTAATGATGAATTGACACAATATCTGAAACAAACACCCGCATTCGCGATCGTGGTACTCTGTTCATATCTCCGCTCGGATGTGTGTCTGTCTGTCTGTAACTGTGTCTGTGTGTTTATGTGTGTGTGTGTGTGTGTGTGTATGTGTGTGTGTGTGTGTGTGTGTGCGTATATCTCTGTATGTATGCGTCTTTAACTGTTTATGTGTGGTATGTCTATGTGTGTGTATGTGTATATGTTTGTCTATGTGTATGTGTATTTGTATGTGTGTTGTGCACGCGTGTGTGTATATGTGTGTGTATGAGTGTTTGTGTGTGTGCGCCGGGCGTGGGTAAAAAAAAGAGTAATGTTTGAGGATCATATTCTCATCACGGAGCCTCTGTGCGTGTATGTGTGTGTGTGTGTGTGTGTGTGTGTGTGTGTGTGTGTGTGTGTTGGTGTGTGTTTGTGTCTGTGTATGTTTGTTTTGCTTGTTTGTTTGTTTTTGTTTTTTAATAGGTGGTGGTTGGGGGAGGCGATCAAACAGCATTGCTTCAGTTTTATTCACTCGACATATTTATATTTCCACTCTTTGTGGCGGGCGGCATGAGGTGACAATGCAGAATGATGAGTGCAGTAGCCCGTGACTGTATGGCGACCTCTGTGTTTGGAACAGATTCTCCTGAGTCACGCTAAACCAATATATTATATGGTGGCTTTTAAGCACAAAACGTGAAAACTGCTTTTTTTAGAAAATTGAAGGTCACGAAAGTATTTGGACCCATGTTCAGTTTCTTTAAAAGACAAGGAAAGTTTTCTCTATAACCAAACAAATATACACACCGATAAAAACCAAACTTCTAGTATAGGTATGGCAAGGCCCACTTTTGGTATAGGTCAAGATTTCTGGAAACCCCCGAAATCTGGGTTAGCCAGCTTGTCCTTAAAAGCGACTATCTATCTATCTATCTATCTATCTATCTATCTATCTATCTATCTATCTATCTATCTATCTATCTATCTATCTATCTATCTATCTATCTATCTATCTATATATATATATATATATATATATGTGTGTGTGTGTGTGTGTGTGTGTGTATGTGTGTGTGTGTGTGTGTGTGTGTGTGTGTGTGTGTGTGTGTGTGTGTGTGTGGTTATTATTATTACTATTATTATGACTATTATTATTACTATTTTATTATTATCATTATTATTATTATTATTATTATTATTATTATTATTATTATTGTTGTTGTTGTTGTTGTTGTTGTTGTTGTTGTTGTTGTTGTTGTTTCTATTATTATTATTATTATTATTAATATTGGAAAACGTGGCTTGGAACGGACAAGCGTGGTGTCGACTGCTCTCCCACTTATGTATCTAACGGTATATGGAGAGAGTAAGTTTTAGGTGTATATTATATTATATTACACACACACATATATATATATATGTGTGTGTGTGTGTGTGTGTGTGTGTGTGTGTGTGTGTGTGTGTGCGCGTGTGTGTGTGTCTGTGTGTGTGTGTGTGTGTCTGTATGTCTGTGTGTCTGTTTGTCTGTGTAAAGGAAAAGTATGTTTGAGTGCAAGACATCCCACTTAAGTTTTAGTTTGGTTTTAGTCAGAGCTCAACGACACTCGCAACACAAGTAGATCGTAGAAGTGTCGAAGACTAAAGGTGTCACTAGAGAATAACACACAGAAAAGAAGGAGAGATGAGGACTATAAATACTTGAAAGGAAAGAACCTGAGCAAGCCACGCCAAATCTTCTGCAAACCACTGTACGAGTAGAAGTAGATGTGTACATAATGGGAATTTTCACGGATTAGGCCTGGTGTGCATCACACGGGGAGGGGGGGGGAGAGGAGGGATTGAATGAAAGGCGGGGCTGATTTCATATTTTGGTTAAAGGAACGTTCACACTTTAACTCATTCACGTTATATATTTTTTAATCTGACCGTTGTTTTTGTTGTTTTTGGTGGTGGTGGTGGTGGTCGTGGTGGTTTTTGTTTGTTTATTTGTTTGTTTTTGTTTTTGTTTTGGTTTTGGTTTTTGGGGGGGTTTTTTTGCTTTTTAACCTGAGCTCTAAATCAAATGAAATGTATACCTGTACGTTAAATTACATTTATTGACCCTCAAGGGGAAATTTGTGCTACAAAAGAAAACATACATACATAAATACATAATTTTAAAAACAAACATACTTGTATACATTCATAAACACACAATATTAAACCAATACGGAACAATTTCACAAACATGCCATTCTGGTCCCCACTGTGCAACGCCCTGGTTTTGGAGCAAGGGTTGTCTTGTCTTGCTCAAGTAGACACACTCCAATGACCACCCATCTGATCCGCGGGTCACAGACACTTTACTTTTGAGTCTGAACTTACTACTCACTTTAGCATCTAATGTTAGACATCGTATCGAAAGAGTTTTAAGTTAAAGTTTTTAAAGTTTTTAAAGTTTTTAAACCTTTTTAATCTCTCGATTCATGCCATGTGACATGTTAAATAATGAACTTTTCTTTCGACACTGAACGGTATTTCAAGATGAGTGACTTCTAAATTAAACACGCATCTCCGACAGGACCAATGCCTATTAGACTCCCCAGATCCCCCCCCCCCTCCTCCAAAATGGATATTCGGAAGCAAAATACCAGCCGAGCTGACTAATCTTGGAGGTGACTCTGTCTCGCACTAGAAGTTTTTTTTTAAACATACGTAAGATTTTTATCATATGACTAGATGCCACCTGCTAAATGATCTAGGTCTCTTTCTTTACTTGCGTGACATATAAGGAGACAGACCATACTCAGCAGTGAAAAACAAATACCTCTCCAAACAGGAATCGATGTCACGTAGGGAAACCTAACTATTGCATCTTACACGACGGAAG